TCAACAAGAGATTAGCAAGGGTATCGAGTTTCAGGTATGAGTGTTTAGCATACAGAGCAGCAAAAGATCACAGCAAATAGTGATGCTTCTGTCATCCTTGGGTAGAACGACGAGCAAACTCATCAAGGAGGGGAATATGCAGAGTGCACTCAACAGGTGACAGACTGATGATGATGATGATGATGATGATGATGACGCTTGTGAGGGTGGCAACTCCTGTCATCTTTACGGATATCATTGTTAGTCTCATCATGCCGACGGCAGAAGTTATTGCGAACGGCGACGATACACCAAGAACCCTTTCTTCCATAGGCCAGCATGATCCCCAAACCTCTAGGTTTACTTTGGGTTCCTGGCTTCGGCTCTCCCAGGACTATTCCCTCACCAACCGGACCTTTGAGAGCGTCCATCGGCTGCCAGGGAGGGCAGTGCTGGGATCCCTTGGTCTTTCACGGGCTTGGGCTGGGGAAGGATTGGGCCTTTGGTGTGTTTTCGGTAATTCCAAGGGGCTTAGTGGTCCTTCGGTAGCGGTGTTTCTGGTCGATTTGTTTCGTAGGAGCGGCTGGAATTGCCTATGGTCTTTTGAAATTTTGAGGAGGTTCCGCGATTTGGAGTTGGGGCATCATCGGCTGTGTGTTGACAGGTCAGAAGGCAGGGCTTCTCGTCAATGCGAGTATGCAGTTGCTACATCCATGTTATGTCGCTTCGTGATAGTTTCGCTACTGCAGCAAAAGATGATGAATCTCATATCTTGCAGTTCTTAACTTTTTGCCTTTGCTGTCATGCTGGCTGTCATCACTATCTCTATTTTTGGGGCTGACGTTGGTCATCCCCAGTGCATCATCTGGAGTGTGAGGGTATTTCCTCCAGCATCTTCGAGTTGGCATCCGACAAGGAAGCCTTTTCCGCCTTATCCGAATCCTTCAATGTATCCTAAACCTGGAGCCCTTCCGAATCCCTGAAGCCCTCACTTCCTACCTGCGATTCCGATCCCGACCTTCTATCCTGCTTTACATGGTGCAGCCTGAAAAGATTCCGACCCCCCGGCCTATGGTGGTTTTCTTAATCTGAACGGCCATGTACGATCGTGCTTTGTTTTTGACTTGATTGGATTACATAGCGCTCAGCGTCTACAGGCTTACTTGTAGGAGGGAGGTAGGAAACATAGTGGAGGGTATGGGTGCCCGAATTGTAGTTGCCCGATCCTCCTAGCAGATACCTGCAAGCCCAGCTTCAACAGGTTGCCGGAATCGGAGCCACACAGAGACTGTAAAGCCAGTATTTCAAGCTTTAAGCTCGATGCCGTTGGTTTCGAATCAAGCCTCAAACGAGGATTCTCCACCCCAGCCGTTGGCTCTGAAGGGTGCGATCATAAACCCCAAGCTGAGTTGCGTAAATGGTTCTCCGCGTTGGTGATAGCATGCTCATGCGCAGAGCAGGTAGGGCCGCCCCAAAAGAAAATGTCTGAAGCGCCCACGGTTCAACCTCCTGTCCCGAGGACGGCTACGAGAGTTGCCACCGCTTCGGCGTTGTCAGCTGCCACTACGGAGCTTTGGCAGGCCTGCCGGAAACCAAACAAGCGAAAAATGTTCATAGAAACCAAAGAAATATGAACAGTCGTGTCAATCTGATAACAACAAATGAACGACGATATTAACAAAGGTAATAAAAGTGATGTTCATATTATTCTTATTCACATATGCTGCTGCTGCTGCTACTGCTAGTACTAGTCCTAGCACTAGTACCAGCACTAGTACTAGTACTAGCACTAGCACTACAGTTGATGATGTAAATCCTGCATTGCTCATAAGGACTATACCATAATTTCCGTAGTGTAGGGTCCTTCTGGTAATGCAAGTTGTATATCATTAACAACATTACTAGTACTACAGTAGTACTAGTTCTTGTACTAGTGCTAGTGCTAGTGCTAGTACTTGACTACTACTACTAAGCTTCTCGGCTCACAGTGAGTGGGCGATGCCAAAAACTCTGGGCCTCACTTTGTAACCGTCTGCCCGCTAGAAGGTTTGGGGACCCCAACGCTAACCAGACTGGTGGCAAGGGGTGGGGCCACCATGCAATGGCCTCGGAGGACCCTGCACGTCACATGGGTACATCTTGCTTTGAGCCTGGCTTTCTGGGATACACACACGGCTGCAACAAGATACACGACTGGGGCATCCCGGAACTACCAGCGACCTGCTGTCGCTGCCTTCAGCAAGCTGAGTATGCTCGAAGCCTCCCTGCTGTGCGGCAACAGTTCATGCATATGGTGCTGCTTTCCATGTTCGATCAGGCGGGAGGGTACAGATATGACTATGTATACTTCAATGCTTTTCAACAGCGATGGCAGCAGAGTGACCCACAGCAAATTCTTTGTGCCGCTGCAGCCTCAAAGTACTCGCCCGACCTCCAGCCTGTCAAAGACTGGTGTGCTGAAGCCTACCCTGCACTGGCTCATGTTCTTTGGAAGTCTCCCACGATCCGTCGAATCAGCTGTTGTGAATTCGCCCTGGACACACTCGATGAGTCATGCACTCAGCATATGGCCCAGCCCTCGACCCCAGACTGTTACCAGACTTTGCCTAGGTAAACAGCTTAGAGCCCGCAAGCTCCGACCTCAGGCCCGGCCCAAACCTAAACGGAAAAGGCCCCGAAAGCCAACTCTGACTTGGGGGAAGCAGGCCGTTGCCCGGTTCTACACCTCCGTACTGGACGGCTGGCCTACACGGCTTGCCCAGTGCGCCCATGGACTTGCCAAGCTTTGTTGTGTCTTGCTTTTGCCAGGGGTTGTACTCCTCATGAGGTCCGCTACCAATAGGTATGCCAACAGGTGTGCGTATGCTCAAGCATGCAAAGACCCAGCTGATTTGCACAGCAGTCAAGACCCGTTTCGGGGACACCGTGCTATCAGCCTGGCCAAGTATCACACCACACCACCCCTTCCCTTTCGGGTTAGGCCCCTTAGTGCTGCCTATTACCTTGGCCTGCACTCCTGGACTCTAGGCTTAGGCCCCACCCCCTGCCATATCACCAGCAGCCTCTGCCTTTCCTGTGCTCCGCTACCATGGACCCACTGCGAGATCCTCTGCACGACTCGATCTTGGATGAGGCCCTGGCCGATACTGGCCCAGCACCTACCTCGACTGCAGCGGTAACAGCCACAGGGGCGACAGATGGAGGGGCTACAGCTGATGCTGGAGCTGATGATGCCTCAGATGCTTCTGGAGCAGGGTCGGTCCATTCCACCTTGACGGCGGCACTGGCAGCAGCTGACAGGAGTCCCAGCCCTGCTCGCCGAGGACACGGACCATACGGCCCTCCGCCAGCTGTTCCGGTGAATCACCCGTTGGCTCGACAATATATTCCAGGCCTGCAGCCTACACGACCCCCTGCCTTGCCAGCTTGCTTCCTAGGGCACGTACATAGGCACCGACAGGTTGTACCGACTCCTGCAGGTTCGTCGTCAAGTGCCAGAGGTCCACCTACGGTTCCACAGATGCCTGGGGAGCCAGATGACCCTCATTGGCAGAGGGTTCTGGCAGTCAATGTGCTGAACACCCTGCAGCACACCGGCCCGGCCTTTGTCCATGCTCCTACCCTGACCACTGTGCAGTCCTGGAGCTCCTTGCGAATCATCCTGGAGGAGGCAACGGAGATGGACGAAATCTGCTGCCAGCGGGTCGACCCGCAGGATCTCAACAATCCCCTGCACATGGGCGATCGTACCCATCCTGATGAGGGCACAGGTGCTGACGACGAGCAAGCGGATGCAGCAGAAGAGGGAGAGGAAGAGGAGGCCTGCTCCCCGGATGACAGCCCGGATGATGCACCGGATGGTCCTGGCTCAGGTGGCTCGGCGAACCCTACTCGTCCATCTTACAAGAGCACGGAGATCACTCCTGGCGGTGCAGCCTCCGCAGGCTCTGGCGATGCCTTGGACCATACGGACCCGCTGGCTCATGTGACGACAGGCACTGCCACAGCTTCTGCCGCCCCTTTTTCGGTCATGCCGGGGGACCTCATCTATGAAGTCGACGACATCTCCTTCAATTTGAGCGCGGCAAGCCGCTGTCTCCAGAGGTGGCCAGGATGAGAGACAGAAATCGTCATAGGCGACCCAGTGGAGATGACGAGCACTCGCGATCAAGGTCCAGAACGCCACCGAGAGGATCGGGGGACGCTGCCAGGCAGGATTTGTGGGAAAACTGCCCCGACCCACATAACACCAGTATGGCCCCTGCCTGGCCCAACCTTACAGGTGACAAGCTCTGCCCTCCTCTCTTGAGATTTCGGAGTCAGGTAGTGACGTCAGCACTCAGATTTGGCATTCTTCCAAAGCTTGGCAAAAAACGGTCTTGGGCCGTGCGTGCATGCATTGCATTGGTTGTCGTTGCCAATCCTGTTGACAGCCAGCCTCCTTCGGAGCCAGTCGGCGCCCGCATGTCCCTTTGCCAACTCTGCAGGTACATCTGTGCTGTGGCTCTTGAGCGCATCTTCCAGGCCAGGCTCACACTTGCAGTCTGGTTCACTTTCCTAGTCCGACTGATACTCCTACTCGCCTCTATAGTCTGTTCTGGGCCGCCGAGGCTGTGCATTCCTGTCAGCCTGTGCACTTCCCCGGCCTCTTCCTCAGACTTCGACCGTGCACTCCTCTCTCACATTGCAGTTCCCACTGTCCCGATGTGCCCAGGTCAGCAGGCTTCTCCTCAGGCATCGCCACCACTTAAACATACCAGCCGCCTGGGTCCCAATTCCCAGGGTCACACTGCTCTGCACTTGCTCTTCTTGCTCCTTTGCGTGATCATCCGACCAGCCTGTGCAGGCAGTGGGACAGAAGCGAGGGTTGTGGTCCCAGCTGCCGGGACCGCTGAAGGTGCGTACTCACCTCAGTATCTTAGCTTTGCGCCGAAGCTATCCCGACTACTTCTAGTCCGACTCCCAGTACTGCTCTCAAACGGTGTGTCAAAAGATCTTTTAGACGTGCCTGTATGAGAGCCATGACACAAGGCACCACGATCTATCGTGGCCGAGCCTTCAAAGCACATGAGGTCCCTGACTCCATTCGTCAGTCATTTGTGTACAGCAGACCTCAGCCCCGTACACGTCAGAACCCTGGCCGTGGTCTTCGAATCTTCTGCTGGAATGCAGGGGGCCTGGGAGGCGGCCTGTATCCCGAACTGCTCACTTTCTTGGACAACTCTCAATATGATGTTGCAGTAATCCTGGAAAGCAAGTGGCAGGAGTGTATGGAATACACCACTGGCCAATGGTCTTGCATTCACTCCGGTTGCAAAACCAGGAAGCAGGCAGGGGTGCTCATTCTGGTGCACCACAGGCTTGCCCCTCCTTCACAATTACGTTTCGAGCATATCCTGCAAGGTCGCTTGTTACATGTGCGAGTGCCTCTCCCAGGCAAGGACTCCAGACACATTCACCTTGTCGGAGTCTACCAGAAAGCATACGACCAGAAAACAGCTTCCCTTGAGCAGCGCCAGCAGGTGTGGCAAGCCATAGATCGCTGCATGGCCCGGATTCCTGCTCGGGACTCATTGGCCCTCATGGGGGACTTCAACACCCCACTCAAGCCTAGTGTGCCACATGTAGGAGATCACACCAACCCGCTCCCGTGCCATCCTCCGGAGGACATGGATGACTTTATGGCATTGCTTGTTACTTATGATCTTGTTGCATTAAACACGTGGAGCAGGACCATGGACAAGAAATTGCCATCAACCTTCCGATTCCAGGCCACTGAATCGCAAATTGACTTCATCCTAACACGTCGACCTGATGCCACACACCAGGCCCGCCGAGCTCGAGCTTGGCGCAACTTCCATGTGGGAGCCTCGAGGCACAGTGGAGCGATACACTTCCCACTGCAGGCTCTCCTTACCCTACGGTGCCCTCACTGGATACGCCAACCAACGCAGGTCAGACCCAGCATCGATCGTGATGCCCTGCTACAGGCCCTGGACCATCCTACCGAACCCCAGCACCTTATGCAAATTGCTTCCATTCGTCAGGCAGTTGCCAATCACATGGCATCCTGCCCTGGCCTTCCGGGAGTGAGCACCCTACATCATTCCTTGTTTAGAGCGTGCTCTGACGTCTTCCCGGCAAAGGCGACAACAAGACCCTCGCATACCTGGCAGGCTGCAGAAGTTCAGCATGGAGTCAAGAGTATGTGGCGGCAGTGGCGAGCCTTCAAAAAGATTCGCAAGAATGGTCTCCAAGGCTGGTTTGCTGCCTGGAAAGCCTGGCGTTCTTTCGACCGACACTATCGTGAGCATCAGCTCCGATGCCGCCAGGCCCGTCGCTCCAAACTCCTCAATGCCATGGAGGAAGCACAGCAGTGTGCCAGTCGACACGATTCGCGAGGCCTTTATCAGATTGTTAAGCGCATTGCCCCCAAACAACCCTTCAGGCGAATGCAGCTCCGGGACCCTCAGGGTCTCATGATGTCGCCCAGTGCCGAGGCCGACTTGCTGCATCAGCACTTTCAACAGCGGTTCCATGCAGAGACGCAGGACCCACAGGATCCTGATGCCATCTGTCTGGCTGGTCCCTGGACCTTGCACCAGCCTCTCCTTCTTGATGCTGCCACTCTCTGCGGTGCCTTTCAAACCATTCCTCGTAGGAAAGCAGTGCCTGATGGACATCCTCCGAGTGCAGCCTGGCGCCTATGTGCAGACATGATTGCGCCCTGGATCTGTGACACATTGGCTGCAGAGTGGATTGGAAAACCCATTCTTGTGCCACAAAGCTGGTCTAATGTTGATTTAGCTCTGATCTTGAAACCAGAGAAATCAGGGCACAAGCCTAATGACTATAGACCCATCGGACTTTCCTGCCCGCTCGGTAAAAAAATCCTAAGATGCATCCTTGAACCTCATATGGATGACATTCTGGCCCAGATCCGTCGCTACCCCCAATTTGCTTATCAGCAAGGCAGGTCGCAATATGATGCGCTCAGAAAAGTCTTTGCACACTGTGCCATGGTTCGAGCAGAGCTCAGCAAGCATCACAAAAATTTGCATCATCAACATGCAGGCACTAAGCCGGTCCCCCTCTTTGGCAGTCTGATGATTACGGTCGATCTTTCCCAAGCATTCGACAAAATGCCGAGAGAGCTCCTTTACCAGGGCATGGTCAACCTTCAGCTGCCAGCTGACTTAATTGCTGTCATCATGGCTTGGCATGCACACATACAATATACCGTTCACCACTCAGGTGAAAGCCGCACCTTTGATGCCAAGAAAGGCATCCGTCAGGGCTGCTCTGCCTCGCCTTTGTTGTGGTTGATCTTTTCTCACGCCATCAGCTGTCGCTTAGAAGGCCTCATCTCCTACGACAGAATCTGTGCCATGCTTACCATTTTCGCTGATGATTACCATGCGGCGGGAACTTTCTCCTCGCTGCATGAGCTCGAACAGCTCTTAAGCTGTATCACGGCTCTCTTCAAGGTCCTCAAAGCATTCGGCATGGAGGTGAGCGATGCCAAATCACAGGCAGTGCTGGCCCTCAGAGGATCATTAGGACCTTCAATCCGTCGTAAATATGTCTGCAAAGGCCCTGATGGCCCAATCCTTCGCATACCACTTCTCGGTGGCAGTCTCAGAATCCCGATCGTCCCACAGTTTCGGTACTTAGGCACCCAAATTAACTACACATCGTTTGAGAATGCCACTCTTGAGTTCAGGCTACAAAAAGGCGATGCCGTGTACCGTCGACTCGGCACCATCCTGAAAGGGAAGCACTATCTCAGTGAGGGACAGAGAATTCGCTTGTGGTGTGCATGCATTTGGACGACAGTCTCATACGGCCTGATAACATGTGGGATCACCCCTGCGGGCCACCGGCTCCTCGAAACTAAAGTTGTTCGTCAACTCAGGGCCATCTTGCGGCTCCCTGTGCACCTGACCCACAAGACAAACGCCGAAGTCATGCAACAGGCTGGGCTGCAGCTCCCTAACCTTATGCTGGTGTCTCTGCTGACACGGGAAGGACATCGCAAGCAATCTACTTTGGATGAACATGTATGTCTCCCAGCCAGCTCCTGGTGGAGCACAGTGATGCATAGCCTCCATCATATGCCGGAGTCCTCACAACTGATTTCGGTGCAGGTGCCTGCCCAACCCCAGACCTGTCCTGAATGTGGGATTTCATATAGCACCCGCGCTGCACTCCTGACCCATCTAGCGAAAAGCCACCCGGAGAAGGTTGCAGCTGCACCTCCTGAACCCTACCAAAAAGCCTTGGACTCACTAGGAGGATTGCCCCAGTGCTCGCATTGCAAAAAGAAGTTCTCCACCTGGCAGCTTCTTCAACGCCATATTGAAGGCAACTACTGCAGTGTGAGACATTCGTTTCTGCCGCAACCCTCGACAGTGCCTCAACAGCCTGAACAGCCAGTGCAGCCCGTACCGCCAGTTTTTTCGGATACCCCGATTCAGCAACTCCTTCACAGGTATGCTGCTAATGCCGTATTCCATATCCCGAACAAACAGCGGTACAAGCAGCACTGTCTGGTTTGTGGACAATGGGTTGCCTCCCCCAAAGTCATGAAGCTGCACTACCAACACAGCCACCAACAGCTTATGCAACAATGCAATCACAAGACACCTGCATTGTGTGCATCATATACAGGCTGTGGGAACCCGTGCCTATACTGCCATACGTCAGTTGCCATCCCCAGACTGCATAAGCTTGCCTGTGCTGTTTTGTGGCAATTCTGTCTCAGCTTTGCTGCAGCAGATGGCAGCCCTGGATCAGGAGATAAAGGAAGTCTTCGGGGACTTAGCTCAGAACAGCCTTCAGGGCTTTGGCGATGCACTGTTCGGGACAGGGAGCCCACTTCCGAATGTGGGGCCTCCCACCAAAGCAGCCAAGCTGGAGGGTGCACCGGGCAAGCGCCAAAGACCCTCAGACAGCGGAAGCTCAACTGGTTCCAACCATCAGTGGGGCAGCAACAAGGGCCGGGGCAAGGGCAACAAAAACCAGCCCCAACTTCACGCCCTGGTACATGCCATGGGGCGCCTCATCATTCGGCAAGAGACACAGCTCCAAATCCTGAAGCAGAACTCCGCCTGGACCCTGTACCTCAAGCCGGGCCCCTCGGGGCCAGTCGCTCTACTGTACAAGACGGCCGAAAAATACAGGGAGGAGTCGAAGACCAAGTTCATGGACACCCCGGTTCGAGCTGTTCTCCTTCACACGCTGTTCCAAGCCCTCCTAGGTTCTCTTCAGGACATCAGCAGCAGCCAGGAGAAGCAAAAGGTACTTCAGGAGAAGGGCTGGCTCAACCAGGACGGGCTCTGGAATTACCAGAAATGGGACGGGGATCAGCAAGCTCTGGTGATCGACGAGGCACGGCAGCCTGTGAACCACCAGGACTTGATTGGCAAAGTGGGTCAATTTGCCGAAATAATCTTGAACAAGGATGTCATACACAGGTTCAATGCGACGCACTCCCTGTCCGTGAACAAGACAGGAACCAGCACATTCCTGCTGGAGGTGGGGCTGCGAGCGCAGGGGGTGGAGCTGGCATGGGCAATCCTGGAGACGATCTCAGGCCTTTCGGCTCTTCAGGTGATTGGGCTACAAGTCCGGAGAGAAGGCCTTCGCCGTGGGGGCCTTGCCAACGACGTGCAGAAGCTTTTGAATGCATCTGCAGGCTGGAATTGCACAACCCATCCAACCAGTGCTACTTGAATGCTTTTGTCTATATGTACTTATGGTGCCATCATCGGCTGGAGGCTCCTGAGTATCAGCTCTTTGGTGACAAGATTCAGGCTTGGCGTGACATTCTATACACATCTCAGCGGCCACTCACAATCAGCAGGCTACCTTCTTGGAGAAGTTTGTTGAAAGGTTGGAGGCAGCCGGCCTCCCAGCATGATGTTGTAGACTTCATGGAGCACGTTTTCCGTATTATGCTGCCACCTCAGTTACAATATTCCTGGGAGGCTAGACTGGGCACACCGCAGGGTATTATCTGTCAGGACCGAGGCCTTCTTTCTTCTCCTATTGTTATGCACCTGGACACGATGCATCGTAGCTTGCAGGACTGCATCAATGCGTGGAGTCATCAGGCTCACCCTCACGCCCTGTCCACGGCTGTCAATGTACTCATCATCCAGCTGGAAAGGTACCGCTGCAGAGGGGGCTTGACGTTCAAAAACCGTCAAAACGTGGCCATTCCGGCTACACTTCAAGTTCCGGTCTTTGGCCGAGGCCTTCACACATTTCAAGCTGTGTATTCTGTGGCAGCGATCATTCTGCATCATGGTGCGCATACTCACACCGGCCACTACACTGCAATCCTATGTGATGGCAGGGGCAAATTCTGGGAAACAGATGATGGTCGTCAGGCACAGCCCAGCGAGGGCTTACCAAGCACAGCATCCTGCGACGGATATGTGATTGCACTGATTCGCAGGTGCTAACCATGCTTCTGACGCTTTTTCGGGGCTGGCATCCTGAACTACAGATGCCATGCTGCAAACGGCAGCTCTTTATATCTGGATAGGACACTGCCTGCTGGCACTAGTGCCGAGGCATCAGGCTCCTGAAATCAGGAGTGCACCCTTGAGGTGCCGGCATTAAATGCTGCTTTTTGGGACGCCTAGCGAAGACCTTTCGCTGCGAGGGAAGAAGAAGACTACTACTACTACTACTACTACTACTACTACTGCTACCGCTACTGCTACCGCCACTACT